CGCTGCTACTACTTGCTTAGGCAATGGTTATCCACAGTGGCTGCTTTGACTGTACTTCAGCGTAGAGCGACACTCACTCGTCCTGTTTTCCTGAAAAATCGCTTCTGCTTTTTGTTGTTTGTTTTCTTTCAAAACAGCGGATTGTCCGAAAAGCTGGTGCAGCAACTTTCCCTGCATATTCCCCCCCACCAGAATATGTCGTTGACCAACACAAAGACGGGCTTTTCTGTAAAGGACATTTTGGACCTTCCTGACACAAATGACGAAGAAGGATCTATCACCGGAGCGGAGGAAGACACAGAGGGATCGGAGACCACTTCCACGACAAAAACCACTGGAGTTTTGGTGCAAAGTCCTCTAGAAAACGTTCAAAATCTGCCTTTAAAGAACCCCTTTTATGACAGTAGTGACAATCCTTACACACGATGGCTTGCAACAACGGACAGTATTCAATATTCATGTAAGTAGAAGAATCCTTGCTGATCTAGATGATAACGACTTATTTTATAAGCTATTCGGTTACATTAAACCATAACTGATGACATGCAGCTTCCAGATCCAGCCCAGCGATGCCCTTGGGTGGCTTTCAGTGTTAAAATTTATGCACCGTGCACTGCTCGATTGTGGCGTTTGCAGCTCAACAAATGCGCTCAGTGTTTAGACTCCTGCACTTTGCATTGTAAGAATTCGATCGATTAAGCACCGTAGAAAAACAAGGGGGCTGTCAGTTACTCAGAGTATAATCATGGTGTGAAATATAAGCCTGCATTCTGTGGGGATTTACAAGCACACAATGCACCTTTTAATGCTTCACTGATTCGCCCTGCTCGTGTAGAACTGGGCTGAGGAATTGTTCTGTTTTTCAGTTTTCCACGCGTCCTAAATAGTTGAAATTAGCCACAGGTCTTGGGCTTGTATTCTTCAGTTAGGCTTCTGTATTAAAGATGTTGTAAGAGTCGTTAAATCCCGAGAAATTGAACATAATATCGCTTTAAAGCGAGGTTATTCGAATTAAGCAGTAATGGTGGCGCATCCTAAACTTTCCATGGAGATTATGTGTTTGTGATAAATGTCTCTAAGAACTTTACAACATAACATTTTGACAGTGTTTCTCCCGTTTCTTGCCGCAGTGCACGGTCTATCCGCCAGCTCTCAGGACTCCGCCAAGTCCCCGGAGCCTTCTGCGGACGACGAATCGCCGGACAACGACAAGGAAACTTCCAGCAGCGGCGGGAGCGACTCTGGCAAGAAGCGGAAAAGGAGGGTGTTGTTTTCCAAGGCACAGACCTATGAGCTGGAGCGCCGCTTCAGACAGCAGAGGTACCTGTCCGCCCCGGAGAGGGAGCACCTGGCCAGCTTGATCCGCCTCACCCCGACCCAAGTGAAGATCTGGTTCCAGAACCACCGGTATAAGATGAAGAGAGCCCGGGCCGAGAAAGGTATGGAAGTGACCCATCTCCCTTCTCCCAGGCGGGTGGCCGTGCCCGTCTTAGTCAGGGATGGAAAGCCTTGTCACACTCTTAAAGCTCAGGACTTGGCGGCCACTTTTCAGGCCGGGATCCCCTTTTCGGCATATAGTGCCCAGTCACTCCAACACATGCAGTATAACGCGCAGTACAGCGCCGCGGCCACGCCACAATTCCCCACAGCACATCACTTGGTGCAAACGCAACAGTGGACTTGGTGAGAGAAATTATAGAGACTTGGCTTGGAGGCGCGGTAGGGAGTTTCACCACAAAGCAAAGAAAAAATAAAACACACAAACAAAAGACTTTTCATTTTTGCAGCTTGACTCATATATATACTACCATTTTTATTCGGGGCTCATGTGTGCGCCGTGTTTACATGTTTTCGTTAAGAGAACTGGGTCCAAACCTCTCCCATATAGATTTTATTAAGAATGTCAATGCTCTTCTTGTGATTTTTTATTTTTTATTTTATTTTTTTGTAAGTATGTTGTGTGTTGGTTGTAGAGATGTTTCCTCTTTTTTTTTCTTTGTCCCTTCGTGTTATTATCAGCACGTACGAACCACTTTATAATTATAGAAATTTTAATTTCTTGCTTCTTTTATGGACCGAAAAAAATATTTATGGCCATGAATAAACACTGGCAAGTTTTCAGCTTTTTCCCTTTGGTTTTTATTTCTTGTAAATAATTTTGTGGCAGGTGTTTGCAACGCAGAGCAGTTGCGGGAGTGTGGCGATGAAGAGGGTTGTGTAGCCTACATTTCTGAATCTTTTAATTAAAAAAATAAAATAAGGGGACTGCCGTGTAAATAAAAACTGTAGCCTCGCGGCGACGGTAAAATAACCGATTTTGTTTTTTTAAATAAAAAAAAAACATCATTTAAATAAAATGCGTTGTTTCTGACACCAGGGTTTGGTTTATAGCCGCCACTGTGAAAATTCTATTTTATTTTAAAAGACACCGGTAAACGTGATGATAAAAGGCGATGATGAAAACACTTTATTGTGGCACAGAATGGAAGTGAGCACGGGAACGAAAAAAAAATCTCCAGCGCACTTCAGTTCTTTCTCTTTCAGGCAAATTTAATCCCGAAAATATTTTTTCTCAATCCGAACACCTCGCTAATAAAGAGCCGAAAGTCACTTGTGAAATGGGACTAAAATCCACTCACTTACTATAAGTGGGCTTCTCAACATAAGAAGCTTTTGAGTGAAAAGCTCTCCTTTTTGTCAGCATCCCCAACCACCCCCGGCCTTGGTTGTAAAGTGGTAGACTGCGAGGAAAAACATCGTTTAATGCAATAAATGTTTTGTTATCTTGTTAAGCGCTAAACTGCAAACAGAGCAGGACGGATCAATGACTCACCAGCCTTCTTTGTTTAATCACGGCAGCGTTCAGCTAAAATTCGCGTGGCTTACAGAGGCTTGAAGGGACTAATAAAGACATTTTTTACACGATCATATAACATGTTGGCAATCATAGCCCGCATTACAATATACTTTACGCTATTAGGCGTTCTTTACCGTGGGACCAAAACGAGCACAAATGGCTCCCCAGTGATCCGCAGAGCGCATTGCGGATTATCAGACTCCAGTCAATATCTTGAGTAAATATGATAACCTAGTTGAAAAAAATCTATGCATTTTGTTTGTCCCGGGCCAAAAAATCTCACAGCAGATGTTAGAGTCGCCCCTATCATCACCGAACAAACAGCTAAATTGGGCAGATTTGCTAATTATTTACAGAATTGAGTCTCAGGGGGCTACTGCTTTTGTGGATGACACCGACTCAATTTGTCGCTGACAGAAAGGTTTTGTGTTTCGAGCTTCCAGGTCAAATAAATCAAACTTTATTTTTTTATTTCTTTGTCTTAAAACCCCCAGAAACGTGTGTGTGCGTGTGTTAAATAAGCAGACGCAGTTATTATAGAAACCCGCCACATGCGAAGAGAAAAATGACGTGAGTACCAGTGCGTGTTATGAGAATTATAAAGAGAACCGATAAGAGTCGATGATAAATGATTGCCTGTCTGTGATTGGATTTTAGTGAACTCTGACTGGTTTCTTTCAAATCAAACTCAAACTGAACAAGTCCCGGAACAATAAGGCAATTTAAAAACTCATAAGTGAAAGAATGACGCTGACATTTGTGTCAGTTTTTGTCCAACAGAGAAGGCAGCTCTGCGACTCTATCACTGCGCAACGCAAGTGCACGAGGCAATAAAAAAATTAAAAATAAAAAACAAAAGCCCAGGCCTGGTTTCTGTGGATGTTAGAGGCGTGCATGCTAACGAGCAGCAGGAGTGGAGATGCAGACAGTGTAGATAGACAGAGTTTCTTGGTGCTGTTCAGAGTCAGGGAGATGTATCCTTGGGCTTTTTGTCCTGCCTGTCACTTGGTGCCATTGTGATCCTTGCTGCACACGTTGTGTCCCATATGGGCAGCTGGGCTCGGAAAAGGAGAAAAGAATCTCTTACAAGCCCCAAATTGTATCAAGCTTTCAAATAAAGCATTGTTGTCTCTCAAAGAAAAACGAATTAAAAATTCGTGCTATATCTATTCTGGTCAAAAAAGAAGCCCCATTCACACATAACAGGGAGTCCTTCTTCCTTGATAGAGCTATGCCAACAACAGCCTTCTCATTTCTCTTTTCCCTCTATCCTCCCATTCTCCAACGTGAAAGGCCGATTATTGTCTGTCCAAAAAAGTGGCTCGTCAAGGCGCAAAAACTATTTTTAATTCTAGACAGTGTTCTTCCTTGTTTGCTGTGCGTGGGCCTGTTTCTAAAATGAACACATGGAAAAATATTTGACACTGTTTGGCCCCCGTCCTTTTTTAAGGACTTCCGTATCGAGCGTAAACTTGATCTACTATTAATTAACAATTTACGGTTAGATTTCACAGCAGCTCTCCTGACTTTAAAGCCAGTGCCGCGCTGCTGTGCGATATACGGATGTAGAACAAATAATACACCTGACTAATAATTAAATGCTGAAGCTGCCATTTGCACTTTTATTTTGCTGTGATCTCTGGAAAATGCAGATGTTTTTCCGTGAGGACAAAAACTGGGTTTGTTGGCAGGTGTGTTGTGGACTTTTGCGCATGAAAGACCGGAACTGATCCCATTCAAGTGGTTTCTTTATTCATAAATTGCCTTTACATTTTCATATTTAACAATATGATATTTAACACTTTTTCGGAACCATACAAATCTGCTTTCAGAAATTATGCTCACTTGCAAATATAAAGTGATTTAAACCAGCTGGAAGCTCCCTGCGCGTTCAGTCAGGCTCTGTCGTGTTTTCCACAAAACTGAAGTAAAACCTCAATAGTGTCTTCGTGGAAGCCTTTACGATAAACTTTTATGACGAACAGCATTCTCTTTGCACCCCCGTATTGCCATTAACGCACCAGAAAATTACACTACACCTCTATCCGCTCAGCAACAGGGTCAGATTTATCGGAAATTGCTTTTGGCTGCTTGAAGGGATAAAGCAGTACGATATTAAAACAAGCATCTTGGCGTGCAGCATAGTTCAACCTGCGTGGATAACTCTATTATATACCTTGGAATACAATACTTGAGGAAATATGCACTTGGGACACCGTGAATCTTCGTCATCCTGCCCATTTGAACCTCGACATGAATCATTTTTCTATCACGCACATCGCCAAATAAACGAGGATTTCAAAGCTATAATAAGCGGCGCTTTTCATTTAAAGGAAGCGATCTGGGTTTTATTGCCTTAAAGGAGATCCAGATTAGATTCGCCACAGTGCCGATATTAAAGAGAAAGGGGAGTGATGGAGGGAGGGGGAGGGGGAGACGGAGAAGAAAAAACGTTGCGCCAGGTTGCCACAAGATGGAAGCAGAGGTCTTCAGTTGGCGCCATGCAGCTCTTACCTGCAAATGTCGCCTTACTACATCTAATTCCATCGCTACAAATTACTGCAGCTAAATCATATTCCAACTGCTGAAATAATGCGCCTTTTTTTCTCTTTAATGAACCAGCAAACTTGACTGTCTTTTAAGTGCATGATTGCGGTTTATGACATTGTTATGGATCTTGAGAGCATAATCATATTGCTCTTCAAAACAAACTAGGCTCGACGTAAACAGTCCACGGGCAATTAGCACAGTTTCCATTTCACAGTCAGAGAGAGGGAACTGGCGGAGAAATAGTCTGCGTGTCTCCACGGTGTGGCGCAATTGGATAGGGGGAGAAACGGGGTGCAGCAGCTCGCAGATTAATTCACTCCAGTGAAAGTGAACAATGGGGGTGAAGTAAGGTTTACCAAAGAAAGTCTGAATCAATCATCGCCTTTTACAACAAAGAAGGCTGTGAGTCATAGCTGGTCACGCGTGTGAAAATCTAAATCTACACCGCTGCTACGTTTTGTGCCAGAAACGCAAAGGAGAGGTGTGTGTTTTTGTTTTTTTAAAAATAAAATCAAACAAAATAATAACTAATAATCTACTTGGAGCATCAAATAAACTCAGAGAGGGCTGGATCTGTTTCCTTACGATCAAAGGAAAATAATGAAAATTAAGCATCATATTTGGTATCAAGAATCAAATCGTTAGCATTTTGGGTTTTTACATGTGCATCACGTCCTGCAGTCACATAGACTTACTTTCCAAGCTGCAAAATGCCTGAACACATCCCTCCATGTAGAGAACTATGCAAAGCACTGCAAAATGGGTCAAATGACGTCAAAGTAAAAGCTACCATCTTTATGCACCTGCTCAGTTCAGCGTCAGTGAGCTTGCAACTGTAGGGGGCCTCATTGGGTTAGAAACGTTTCGCAGCAGGGGGTGCGGAGATGCTGAACACGGTGAAGGAGGGTTGAGGGGAGAGGAGATAAATTCTTAATCTGCTTGCATTGTGACCAGTTTTGACTTTGGAATAAAAACAGCGGTTTGAAACAAACACACACAGCGCTGAGAGCAGAAACATATCAAGACATCAACACTGGGGCTTCTTCTGGTTGCTGTTTTGGTGTCAGCCGGTGGGCATGTGAAAGTAACACGGTCATATTCGAATCCACGAGCTGCATTCAAATTGGTGCTGTGTGTATTAGTGTAGGCGGCAGGCTGCTGTGTGAAGCAGACAAAGCCCACATGACACATACACAAGTTGACTCAGCGAGCGTCTGCAGAGTACTGTTCACATCAGCAGCCCATCTGCGTGAGAAGAGTCTGGAGAGGTGCGAGCTGCCTAACACAAACACCAGCATCTATGACTTACACAAGGAAGAAACCGGAGAGCTGAAGTTTTCTGTGGAGCTCAAAGGGGAATCCTTCCATCGTCTCCGAACAGCTCCAGCTTCTGTCACACTGTGTTTATCTATAAGATTAAATAAAACAGGATTGTCTTTGTCCACTTCAATTTGAACTGTACCCATTTAACAGTCAAGAGTAGTGCTTTTCTATGATACACTAAAAGCAAGTATACGCCTGCAGCGCTCTGTAACAAATCTATTTGATTCACAGCCGATGATAAGCTAAATTCATAAAAGGCTTGTCATTGTTCTCACTGAATGAAGTCACTATTTGTAGATGACTTATCTAATGTGTCTAATTAAAGGAATAATTGTGAAAAAGCATTTTAAGTTGCGCACAGTTTATTTTCTGGTATGAAAGATTTCTTGATGTTAAATTGGCACTCGTGTTTGAACTCCATTATTGGGGGAATATATACTAAATATGAACACAGCTTGTGTTATTGCAATGACAAACTATATGCTTCTACCGTGAGCACATTAGGAGGGGTGTAACATATACTTACC